TACGTGGGTTAGTTACATAGTTAGGAGTTAGTGGTTGCTATTTAATGTAATTAGCATATTGTAAAAGTTACTGTTTTGAATACAATACAAATCAATTCAGTTAACTCTTTGTTTTCTCCTCTCTTAATATGGTATCAGAGCTCTCTTAGAGAGAGCTCTGCTGCAAACTCTGATAATCTCCACGGTGGTTCACCGGAGTTCCGATGGCTGCGAACGTTCCGCAGGTGGCTCCGCCGTATCTGTATTCCTTGCAAGATGTGCAAGTCACTTCTTGTCCGTTGTATGTGCATCTGAACGAGAATCCGGCGACGATTCTTGTTTCTCCGCCACTTTCTGAGAAGAATTACCACAGCTGGTCAAGATCGATGCGAATGAGTTTGTTAACAAAGAACAAACTCGGATTCGTTGATGGAACGCTTCGTGATCCTGGAGAAGATCATGAGATCTATCCGTTTTGGCAACGCTGCAACACAATGGTTCTTGGATGGATGATTCGTTCAATGAATCCGGAGATTGCGCAATCGATCCTGTGGCGAGAAAAAGCAATCGACGTTTGGAAGGAGTTGAAGGAGAGGTTCTCACAGGCAGATCTCTTCCGCATTTCTGAATTACAAGAAGAAATTTACAGTCTCAAGCAAGGAGACATGACGGTAACCAAGTACTTTACAGCTATGAAGATTTTGATTGATGAATTAGAGGTTTTGAAACCATTGCCATCTTGTGTCTGTGATGCACTTGTCAAAATCAAGGCAGAAAGAAATTCGGATCATGTCATTCGATTTCTGCGTGGTTTAGGGGAACAATTCTCCGGTGTGAGGTCGCAAATCATGCTCATGGAGCCTTTGCCAAGCATCAATCGCGTGTTTCAACTCGCAGCACAGCAAGAGAGGCAATTCAGTGTTGAGAATGTGCCTAAGGTTCTTATGGCTAATGCTGCTACTGCTCAAGGTGTTCCTGATTCACAAAAGAATAACAGAGGTGATAGCAATTCATCTAATCGCAGCTATGGCAATGGAACCAATTCTAATAAAGGTTCTCAAGGTTCCAATGGCTACAGAAATCAATCCAGGAAGGAATGCTCACATTGTGGCAAAATTGGGCATACTGTGGATGTGTGTTACAAAAAGCATGGGTATCCACAGAGTTACAAGTCCAGGAATTCTCAAGGCGCTTCTCGACATGCTAACATGTCCAACGCCACAGAGGCAGAGGAAGATGATTCCAATTCTGTACATGAGGATAGCTCTCGGTTCAGCTTGACTGAAGATCAGTACAATACTCTACTTGCTTTATTGCCTTCTCAGGATAAGGTTACTGCAAGGACAGCAAAGGTCAATTTTGCTCTAAGTTCAAGGACTTCAACCATTGCACAAACCAATTCCGTGGCTATGCAAACTCGCAATGGTATAATTCGATTAATTCAATGGATTATTGACACAGGTGCAACTGACCATATTTGTGGTAGCTTAGAACTCTTTGTTACATACAAGAGGATTAAGCCAGTGAAGGTTAAATTGCCCAATGGCAGTTTCTTGGTAGCTCATTTTTCTGGCACCATTTCATTTACTAAGTCCTTTTACTTGGTAGATGTATTATATTTGCCTCAATTTAGCTTCAACCTTATCTCTGTTACAAAGCTTGTTGAAACTTTGAATTGCAAGCTCACTATTGTTCCTAAATTGTGCTTAATACAGGATATGAATGCCTTGAGGATGATTGGTGCAGCTAAAGAGGTTGATGGTTTGTATTACCTGGTTACACCCACAATGAATGCATCCTGTTTGAAGCCAGTTAGACCTGTACCTGCAGTTTCAGCTACTTGTTCTTCCTTGAATTCCCCTTCTAGTTTGTGGCATCATAGGCTTGGCCACCCTTCTTTTGATTGTATTTCCATCTTAGGTAATACTTTTCCTTTTATCAATTGTACAAGAAACCATGTATGTGAGGTTTGCCATTTGGCCAAACAAAGGAAATTGTCCTTTTCTCACAGTAATAGTACATCTAATAAAGCCTTTGATTTGATTCACATTGATATTTGGGGTCCCTCTGCTGTTGCTTCTATGCATGGTCATAGATTTTTTCTTACTATTGTTGATGATTACACCAGATTTACATGGTTGTTTTTGATGAAACAAAAGTCTGAAGTTCAGCATCTTATTCCACAGTTTTGTGCTATGATTAAAACTCAATTTGATGTTTCCATTAGAGTCATTAGATCTGATAATGGTCCTGAGTTTTTTCTTACCCAATTTTATGCTTCTAATGGCATCATTCATCAACGAGTGTGTGTAGAAACCCCTCAACAAAATTCTGTTGTTGAGAGGAAGCATCAACACCTTTTAAATGTCACTCGTTCCTTGTTATTCCAGTCTCATTTGCCTAAAGTTTTTTGGTCACATGCTGTATCCCATGCCACATTTCTTATCAATAGACTTCCATCTTCTGTTTTGGGCAATAAAACTCCTTTTGAGAAGCTTTATTCTAAACCTCCTGACTTTGGTTTTCTTAAAGTCTTTGGGTGTCTTGGTTTTGCTTCTACCTTGCTTCGGGCTCGCACAAAATTGGATCCTAGAGCTCGAAAATGTGTGTTTCTTGGTTACAAACATGGCACTAAAGGTTTTTTGTTATTTGATTTGAAATCAAGAGAAGTCTTACTTTCAAGAAATGTCATATTCTATGAGCAGCAATTTCCTTTTCAGGCCTTATCCCATAACCTTGATCATACACCACCTGATGTCACAATTCCTTTGCCTACTTCTCATGATATTGAAGCCATTGATTACACTTTACCTGATTCTGCTCCTTTGTTTCTCCCACCTGTTGATCCTGTGCCTACAAATCCTCTTCCAAGGCAGTCTCTTCGTACAAGGAGATTGCCATCACACTTGCAGGATTTTCAAGTCACATTGCCTCCTAGCCTGGCAGCCCAATCTTCCTCAAAGGATCATTCATCAGGTATAAGGCATCCTATCTCCTCTGTTGTGTCTTATGACAAATTGTCTCCTACACATTTTGCCTTTGTTGCTAATGTATCCAATTTAGTGGAACCAAAGACTTATTCCCAGGCTTGCAAGGATCCTCAGTGGCAAGAGGCAATGATCAAGGAGTTGGATGCTCTCAACAGGAATCACACATGGCAGATTGTGCCTCTTCCTTCATCCAAAAAGCCCATAGGTTGCAAGTGGGTTTTTCGCATCAAACACAAACAAGATGGTTCTGTTGAGCGTTATAAAGCTCGCTTGGTGGCTAAGGGATATACCCAAATTGAAGGCCTGGATTATTTGGAGACCTTCTCTCCAGTTGCAAAGATGAATACCCTTAGGCTTTTATTGGCCATTGCTGCTTCCCAAGGATGGTTTCTTCATCAACTTGATGTTGATAACGCCTTCCTCCATGGCTCCCTTGATGAGGACATTTATATGAAGCTTCCTCCTGGGGTTCAATCTGATGTTCCTAATCCAGTTTGCAAGCTTCAGAAGTCTCTTTATGGCCTCAAACAGGCCAGTCGACAATGGTATCAAACATTGGTAGCTGCTCTGCAATCTATTGGATTTCATCAATGTTCTCATGATCATACTTTGCTTCTTAAGCAACAGGGTGATTCTATTACTTGCTTACTTTTATATGTTGATGATGTTGTTCTGGTTGGGAACTCTATGGAAGAAATCCAAGCTGTCAAGAGTTTTCTCCATGCCAAATTCAGTATCAAGGATCTTGGTGATTTAAAGTTTTTCCTTGGCTTAGAAGTGGCACGATCTTCTCTTGGAATCACTCTTTCTCAACGCAAATATGCATTGGAGCTTTTGACTGATGCTGGCCTTCTTGCTTGTAAGAGTGTGAAAACTCCTATGGATTCTAATGCTCATCTCTCATTAACAGAAGGCAAGCCTCTTCCTAATGTTAGCAGTTATAGACGATTGGTTGGCAGGTTATTATACCTCACCACTACGCGTCCTGACATAGGCTTTGCAGTTCAGCAATTAAGCCAATTTTTAGCAGCCCCGACAGAGGTTCACATGACTGCAGCTACACGTGTTCTTCGTTACATCAAGGCTGCTCCAGGACAGGGATTGTTCTATTCTGCCAGGTCTTCTTTGAAGTTGCAAGCTTATAGTGATTCCGACTGGGCTAGCTGCCCAGACACGAGGCGGTCTGTAACTGGCTACTCTATCTTCTTAGGTTCTTCCTTGATCTCCTGGAAAACTAAGAAGCAATCTACTGTATCGCGTTCTTCTTCAGAAGCCGAATACAGAGCTCTTGCAGCAACAGCTTGTGAGCTTCAATGGTACCAATATTTGTTCCAGTTTTTACATCTTGAGCTACCTCTTCCGATTCCTTTATTCTGTGACAATCAATCTGCCATCTATATTGCACAGAATCATACATATCATGAGCGCACCAAGCATATCGAATTAGACTGCCATGTTGTGCGCGACAAGCTTCAAGCTGGGTTATTGCATTTGTTACCTGTTTCTACTCATCATCAGTTGGCTGATATATTCACTAAGCCACTCCCTCCTTCTAAGTTTCCAGATTTTGTATCCAAGCTTGGCATGATTAATATACATGCTCCAGCTTGTGGGGGGGTATCACAGAATAACAATTCTGTTAGCTAATTGTTAGCAGTTAGTTAGAAATTAGAATTATTGTTAGAGTTAGTTACGTGGGTTAGTTACATAGTTAGGAGTTAGTGGTTGCTATTTAATGTAATTAGCATATTGTAAAAGTTACTGTTTTGAATACAATACAAATCAATTCAGTTAACTCTTTGTTTTCTCCTCTCTTAATACATTTTACTCTTCAGCCCTTCCGATTTCTTCCTCCTCGCACAAACCCTTGGGAGCAAAAATCCACCGCCGGTTGAGCTGTCCCAACAGTAAGGTATCACCATTACATCTTCAAATTCAACTTCATGGCCGTTGTTTGCTTTTTGTTGTTCATCTTCTTTAGTAAAATTTTGAAAATATCAGCTTGAAAGGTTAAACGTTCATGTCTTTAAGATGACTGTGAGCTGTGTGGTGTTCAAGTTTGTGGTGCCAAGTTTGTGGTGCGTGTTGTGCCTGATTCGTAATTTTCCCTTTCTCTCATATTTTTATTTTATCTATTTTTGTCAACTTAAGGTTTTGCTTTATATCAACAGGGCTTTTTAATCTGATAAATTATATGGATTTTTAGAAAAAAATTTCTTCACATATTCACGGAGTGATTTGTTTTGGATTTTTGAACAAACAAATTTAGGGTTTAGTAATTTATTTGTAATTGACTATGATGCATATTTCTTTAATACAGGTTATTTCTTTCCTGCTTTGGCCAAGGCTGTGATGCAGATTGGTCCGGAATTGTCGAGGACTGTGGTTGTTCCGACGAAGTTGGATACTAAGATACCGCAGTTTGCGTGTCCTTCTGATGTTGAGGTTTTTCTCTTGCCGCCGACTTCTACGCTTGATGGTTGCATTCTTGGTGATTTGCCGTTTTTTACTTCGGTGCTTTCGGGGAGAGTTGGTTCTGGAAGTCACTGTTTATACTCCTCCAATGATGATTTCAAACAGGTTTGGGACTTAGTTAAACCTTTTTCATTTCATTTCAGCTTCATGCTTAAATGGTAAAGTAAATTATTCTATGGTAAAAGTAATACACGTTGAGGCATTGGTTACTTGTAATTTAAGTTATTTAACATTTTGCAGGCAGTAAGCTTTAAAGAGATGGAAGATGTTGCGTCCTTGGAGGAGAAATTGGGAAGGCCACTGTCAAAGCAAGAAAGAAATAACCTGGTGTGAGCAAACTAATGGCTGAAGCTGGAAGAGATACTACAAAAAAAGGTTTATTTGCGATAGAATTTGTCGTTGTTGACTTCTTGTGTCTAGACAATAATTAGAAAATTCATCGTTTTTATATATATTCTAAGCAAAATCCTAAGAATGAATTTGCTAGGTATATAAATAACGTACCGTTGATCAATTCACTTCTTGAGAAGGAGCATCGGAGCGTGACAAGGAAATTGAGTGATGTCAAACAAGAATTGAGGTTTGTATTGAAGTTAAAAATATCTTTGTTGTATGCGACCTTCATAGGAAGGTGCACGGGTGATAATTTTATATATTAGTTTTATTGTTATCTTTATTTTATATGAATTTGTTTCATCACTTGTATGTTTTTCTTCAAATTATATACAGCACACTGGATGAAGCCAAGCTGAAGGAGAAAGGAAGAGCTTTTCATGATATGTTCTTGACTAAGGTTTTTGTTTCACAAATTTAATTTTCTTCTCAATATCTGATCATGTTTTATCGGATAAATTTCTTCTGTTGATGGATATTTAGAACTCCTACCAAGGGAAGGGTTATTTAATATGAACGTTTAACTTGTGGAGTAAGTTTATTTGTCAGTTATATATTCTATATGAACCCTTGAATATGCATCCTTTTATTTAAATCTTTTCAGCTGTTATAACTTAGAACACATAGTTCCCTAAACCTTGAGGATGTCCTTTAATAACTTTATTCTATTTTCACCTCCCGACTCGCATTTTTTCCTCCATTCAGCTGTCATTGCTGCTTAAAGGGACCGTTGTTGCGCCTCCTGATAAGTTTGGTAAATTTCCTTGGCTCTCTTTTATGGATAAGCCTAATGAATAGTAGATAATGGTTAATGAAAAATGAAAGCTCACTGTCTTTGGAGATCTCCTTTCTCTTGGTAAACGGTTATTGTTATATTCCTTAATGTTCTTTTTGTTTTGTTTCAGGTGAAACACTATCAGATGAGCGAGTAAATGGAGGTGCATTTGTTGGTGCTGATGGTGTTCAATTCCCTCACAAGCTAATACCTGTAAGTTATACGATTGTTACCGGCTTGCTTTCTCAGTACTTATGTTCCACTCATTTCCTTTATTATCTTCTCTTTTTGAAGTATTTTCATAATTCTCGCTAAGCAAACATTTGATAGGTTGTCTTATCCTTCTTTGTAGAATGCAGGGATGCGTCTTTATGGTGGTGCACAATATCACCGGGCAATGGCTGAGTTTCATTTTGTAGTAGGAGGAATCAAGTGTACTCCAATCACTCGGGAAGAAATTGTAAATGCTTGTGGAGTCGAAGACATTCATGATGAGACAAACTACTCTAGGTAATTCTGTGTTTTTACTTATTCATTCTTGTAATATTACTAATCGTTAAAATAATTTTTATACAGCGGCAATTCTGTGTTCCTGATGGTAAGTTCTTCTGCTAAGTTTCACAGAATAATGTGTTCACTCATGTTTCAAATATTTAATACCACCAAATCTGACAAAGACCTTATCTGCATTTTTCAAACTAATGATCTTAAAATTTCTCATGCACCTGTTAAGAAAAAGCTTAGACAAGCTACTAACCAGACACTTCTATTGCTTCAGGATAGCTTCATGATAACTATCCTGAATTTGTTGCTATAAACAGGTTCTTAAAACGATTGAAAAATATTTACGGGCTACTGGAACTGTAAATGAGTATCTATTTAGCAGCTTCCCGCGACTGAGAGCAACTGAACCAACAACACTTAGCATTCCACATCTGCCAAAGGAGAGAGATGGCTACAAACTGCAGCAGAATATTTACGTAATACATAGTCAAAAGGAGTTTTTTGACTAAATCTATGCATGTTTGACATGGAAGCAGCCATTCAGTGGAACTTCCTCTCTTGATTTATGTTTCCACTGTTTTTTCCTAAATCACTCATTTATATCTTTCATTTTTCGCTTTTAATCTTTATTCTTTTCTCATGTGTCTGATTCTTTGTTTTTAATGGTTTTTTATGGGTTATTGTTGTGTTGATTTTTACAGATTTAGAGATTTAGTTAGAGGTAAGGGGAATTACTCTAGATCTCACTGTTGAAATTGCAATCGGTAAAGGATGTGGCTTTGTTCAACTTGCTGACAGGTAACAGTTGTGTACGGAATCCCTGGTTATGCCAAACGCTTGCTGCTGTAGAATGTTTCCAAAATCAACATATGAAACATTCTCTACTAAGTTGTTTCAGCATTTCCAGTCTGACCCAAGGTTGGAAAAGGAAAAGTTTTGACAAACAGATTTTATAGTTTCTCATAATGCCGGGAAAGTGAGTATACGTTCCTTTAACTTCTCTTAATTTTACAAATTTAAAGACAGCCACACTTCTTCATGCAGGTCACATATCATACAAAAGTATGTAATATGTCGATAACGTAGTTTCTCTTAAATGAAATATTCGATAACGTGACACCAATATGTAATATGTCGGACTTCGAATTGACATAGCTTTGAGTATTTAAAATACTATTTCAGTAGAAACTATCAATTTAAAAACATTTATCTCATACTCGTGTGCCTGCTCTCGCTGTCTCATTTAAAATCTAGAAATACTTTTTGAAAACAAATAGAATCTAATTAATCTTAAACCGCTCTCGCTGTATTTAAAACTAATGTTCGATTACCACTATCTGATTAAAATCTCAAACTCTCATTATATCGATTTTAATCTCCGTTTGTCTTTTACTCGTAACAAAACAGTTTTAATATTAAATATTGGAAACCAAACCAGAAAAGTATTTTATAAATATTTATGCCAATTCATTACCGAACCCCTTCGGTTCTATGAGCTTACATACTGGTATCAGGGAAATTAGCCAGACATGTTATTGAGTATCAACACAATTACAGTAATCAAACAATGACATAATAATGATTATTAAGTAAAAATAGTATATATAAATGAAATAACATCTTGGAATAAATAAAATTAATGTTAAACTTCTAGTACCAAGTGCAATCCTCCATAATATGTCGTAGAATTTGCTTCGCGGAAAATAATAACTTGAATGCAGGAAGTATATAAACTAAAACAAAGTCTGAAAGACGTGAATAAAATCTATTCGTTGTTTACCGTGGAAAATGGTAAACAACCGCTAGTCCTCCCAGAGTCCTAAACTGAGAGTAACTTGCAAGATCAACCAGTTGATCTCAGGACACGTGCTAAGAGCTTTACTATCACACCTATTCCGTCGAAATATTAGTCAAGGGAGATGATTTTCTTTTGACTGGGAGAACAGGTGTAATGGTTTTCCACACTATGATTTTTTATCGACTGACTCGTGACTCGTGACTGACAGAAGATATTCATACGAAAGCGAGACTTACTAAACTAACTGACTGGTGACCAACAAATAGTGTCAAATTGTTTATGTGAAATAGAAGATAACGTATAGATCTTGCTCGATAGTAAATAGAAAGCAGATAAAATACTCAAAAGATATAATTGAAAGATAAAGGATTTACATTGAAATAAAAATGGTAATTCACGTACATCAAGCACTCTTCACTCTTGATTTCCTAACGCTCGGAATGACAGAGTTTGACAAGTGATTTGAGAGTACAAGTGAACTCACCACAAACTATACTAAATCTGCTTATTTATAGTGTTTACAACGTAACTACCTAGATAAAATCTACGACTAACATTAACATCGTAAGGTAACTGCTTCACTAGATGTTGTCACCTATTTGACGCTCAAACACATCGTGGATTGCTGGTAACGGCTCATGATTTTGAAGTTCCACCTATTTGGCGCTTAAATACATCATGGATTGCTGGTAACCGCCCATGATTCCTATAAACCTCTTGAACGTAAACCGCTTCTGCCTTGCTTCGACACTTTCTTTCTGGCAAAGAATAACCATACTTCCTCTAAGTCCAAGAAACCCTTTTTTGTCGACTAAAACCATTTTCGACCAAATCCTTGTCTTTCACCATTTGGTCGACTAAACCAATTTTGACCTCTTGACATATGTTCTTTTATTTCTTTCTAGTCGACGTAGTTCAGTTTCGACAGTTTCAGTGTGACTCCTTTTAAGCGTTAACTCTAACTTAATAAAACCAACTTTTCAAACACTGGCTCTCGCTTCCCAGAAAACCCTTACTTTGGAGGATGACTCCTAGCTTATGAGAATATCTTCATTTACTACACGTACTTGAATACCTTAAGATTTTCCAAGGTAACAAAATGCTCCCCAGAGATGCCATTTTCAAATTTTGACTAATATGTGATAATGGCATCTTTGAAGCGTCGGTTTCATCATTCGACCAAATCGTTTCCATTTCTCTAAAAGTGAATATTATTGTTCTGTCTTTTCCGTGACGTCATGTAATCATGGTAGCGTACCACGCTTTTCAGTTTCGAGATGTGTGACATAAATTTTTGCCATCATTGCGCTTTTAGTGGGAAACGCGGCCCACTAACTCACGTTGATCTTGCAGCACGCGTCCTACAAACTGACGTGATTTGAACTTGAGAAATCACAAAAGATTTTCTCCATTATTTCCTCCTTCCTCGGGGTCTATAAATATCTTTATTTCTCATTTTTTCTATTTTTCTTCACTTCTTCAACCGTTGCTTTTAGAAAAAACACAGAAACTACACACTTCATCGTTGTTCTTCATCTTCATCCTTCTTCAAAACTTTTACAATGTCGAATGTTAAAAATCAAACTTCCTCTCCAACGATCGCTCTTCAACTGCGCCTTGTCGACGACAAAGCTTATGTGCCGGAACCTCCATTTGCTGAGGAGAAAGCCAAAATCTGGCAATCTCAGGTACTTATCCCTTTCTCTCTTGAAGAGAAACCCCTAACCTTTTTAGGGCCACTTCTTACTGATGCACCCTCCGAAATATATGTAGATGATAAGGAGGCGTTTTTTTCCTACTAGTACTACTACCAGACCCATTATTTCTTCTCCAAACCCTATATCGCTTAAATATATTGACAGGAACTTTAGAGCCGCTCCACCTCTGTATTGCCCTAAATTTCGTGCTTGGATGGCACGTTTAGAAACTGCCAAAGGAGACCAATGGAAAATGATGGGTATTTATACCCTGCTAGAACTTTCTCGATGTGGTCAACCTTATTCTAGTGGCATGCTCCTAGCTGCCATACATTTCTAGAAGGGATCGACTAACACCTTTCATACTAAATATGGTATGATCACTCCTACCCTGTTCGACGTTGTTGCCATCACAGGGCTAAAACCATCTGGCACAGTTTTCAACTATAGAGATGTTGAACCTGTGCCACTAAGGTTCGATGTGGGTTAAGCTGGAAAACCAACATATAATAATTTCATCGACCATCATGCTCAAACCTCTGGTCCTGTAACTGATGAAAAGCATGTGGCATTTCTCACCTTATGGTTGTCTCGCTTTGTTTTTTGTTCCAGGTCGATGTAGGTGGCCAAACAATTTTCTTATCTGGCTCCCCAATTGCATATGGGTGGGAATGTTGCTTTAGGACAACTGATTTTGGCCTCTCTTTATACAACTTTGATTGATGCTGCTAACCAAATAAAGCGTTTTGACCCTAATAATCTAAAGAAAAAGAACTATTGTACCCCAAAATTTGCCCTCTCATTTATCAAGTATTTTCTTACAAAATCTCCTTTGGTTCAAGACTGCACAAGGATTGATCAGCTCAAGACATCTCCTTAAGCACTGATGATTGAAATTAGGGTTTGGGATTGCACACGGATAATTGAACTTTTAATGCCTCATATGACTTTCATAGATCATTATGGACCCCCAAGATTGCTCATGTCAAGTTTCAAGTCTTGAATCACACTTTTGCTCAGTCAATTGAGAAGTTGACCTAAAAATCAACTATATTGGGGAAAAAGTCAATTGTGGCCAATTTAGAGTCAAACTTCATAATTTTTATCCATATCAATATTATGAACTCATATGTATCATTTGATCAAATTTGGATCACAATTCCTCAAGAAGTTTGATCAGATCATCAAAAGGGCAAAATGGTCAAAATTAGGGTTTTGATTGAGAAAAGGCAATTTCTGATTTTTGGCCTAGAAAATGGTTGATTGGTTGGAAACATGATCTAAAAGATTCAATTGCATCATTTTAATCTAATGGCATGACTCAAAACATCCCTCAAGATCAATTGATTGATAGTTGATTTTCAGTCAACTGATCAAAAGTCAACTGTACACTGAAAAGTCAAACTTTGACTTTTTGGTTAAAATCAAGTGTCAAAGATCACAATTCATCAAAACATGTCAAAATATAAAACTTGTTCATCAAGAAATCAAAAAGTCAAGATTTCATTTTGAAAAGTTAGTTTCCAAACTTAGAAATTTTTCTAAGTGTTGAAAACTTCATATTTTTTCACAACTTTTAGCCAATTTTTCACCATGATGCAAGATGATTCAAAAGAAACTTTAAACATGAAAGTTGTAGATCTCAACTATATCTAAAACATTGCTTTATACAACTCCTCCTAAAAATGCTTGGATCTCAAGTTATTAATTCATGAAATCATGGTCATGAAACTAAAACACTTAGTGAAATTTTGAGCATTTTGGTCAGGATTTTGACCTAACTTCTGAGCCAAGTTTCACATAGTTCCATTTAGATTTTGCAAAAGTGATTCAAAGAGGGATTTTAGATAACATTACATGCTTTCTAAAATGTCCAAGAACTCCTTGAGATCACTTGCGAGCAAGGAGAATCGAAGGCCAGAAGTTAGGGTTTCAAGTTGTTTTGCAAGACAAAATTTGTGATGCACAATGAACCAAATCCATATCCATGCTGCATAATCTTCAATTTGCAGACCTCAAACTTGCAATTCACTCCTTAATTAAATGTTTACACAACATATGGAGTCATTGTCCAAGCATTTGAATCATTATCCAAGTTGCATTTCCATTTTTGGAAGAAAGGCACCATTGTTATTCTTGAAAAGTGACTTTAATCACAAAGTCAACTTGTATGGAGATTTGCACTTGTTATTTCTGTACAAACATACTCTATAAACTCAAAACAAACATGTTTAAAGTTGCTAGCCACCCTATAAGACATGTACCTTGCATTGAAACCATGTTTGTCAAGATAACTTCAAAAATAAGTCAAGAACTCATAACATGTGATTCTTTGTTTCTGATCTTTTCAAACCTCAAAACCTTTCCTCTATAAATAGAGATACTATTTGCAAGAGAATCCACGCATGCTTAATCCCTTGAACTCACTAAAACTCACACAAACTCAGATTACACACAAAAC